TTAATTTTTTTATTTTTTTATTAAAGGGGGAAAATTTCCGAGTTGTTATTATCAGGGGGAAAATTTCAGACTTGATCCCAAATTTTCTTTAATTGATGATGAATTATTTCTCTCATTTAAAGGTAATAACATATTGTGCTCATTAAGTTTTTCTTCTTTAATAGAATCTTGTTTTTTATCTAAATAATAAGTAAGATTTGCTATTTGTATCTGTAATCTTTCTTCTTCTTTCATTTTAATAAGTTCTTCATATGTGATTGTTATTTCATTAGCAATACTAAGGTGTAATAAATTTAATAAAATCATTATTAAAAATTTTTATAAAAATTAAAAAAGAAATTAAAAAACATTCTTAGTTTTAATAAATTTTTAATAATAGTGTTTTTTCTAATTAATTAAATAATTTAAAGATTAAAACTAAATAATTGTTACAGCATATTTTATTAAATAAATCAAATTATATAAATAAGTAATTGTTTTAATTTTATTATTTCATAATCTGTTAATTAATGAATATTTTTAATTCTTTACAAATTAAATTAATTTTTAGATTAATAATTTAATAGTTTTTTAATTTACAACTTGATAGAAATTCTATTAAAATAATCATAGTGTATTTCAATTTTATTATTATTTAAATTTTTTTTTAATTAATAAAGAAAGATTTTTCTAACTGAAAGTACAGAAAATAATTATTATTTTACTTTTTATAGTATATTTTTTAAAAAATAAATATTATAGGGTTTTTCGATCAAAAGCAACTCTTTGCAATCATTTGTAAAGATTTTGCAATCAAATATAAATTTTTTAGAAAAATATTGTTTTATTATCCCTTATAATGTTAAAGAGACAACATGTGGAAACAAAGAAACATGAGGAAGCAAAAAAGTATTAAAATAATCGACACTATCTAGAGGCATGTCTAAAACTGTAAATCTTACAGAGAAAGGATAAAAAAAAAGTTCTTCAAAAATTGTCTTATAAAGACATCTATATCTCACTAGACATAAACTACAACATTGTTTATAAAATCTCTAAGAAGTTTTTATCAACAAATAATGTTTATTCAGGACTATACAATGGAGACAGGCGTTTTAAACTTACATTAGAACAAAAACAAACGGTTATTCCCTGAATTGACTTTGATATTATATTTAGACTTCAGAATTTAGTTAATATAGTTAACAAATTATTTGGTATAAATATGACTATGAGTACAGTTGATTACTATCTTAAACAATTTCATTATACCCTAAACAAGTTGTCATTGTTTTCAAGTGAAGAAATTATAATCGAATAATTAAACAAAGGTTTGGATACACTAGTGGGTTTAGAAAATTTTATGAAATAAAAACCTTATATTCTTGGATGCAGTCGGTTTTGTAGTTTTAACAAAGGTAAAAAAACGTTCATTCATAAATACCTCTGTTTATGTCAGTGTTTTTGCTGTAATGAATGATTATGGTATGATATATCATAAAATTCATGACAGATATTTCAATGGTGAAAATTTAAAACTTTTATTATCGAGTTAAAAAATGCCTGCCATTCATTTGAAATAAGTGATCTTATCTTCATATTAGATAATACCAGAATATACCATTACTTAGGTTTATCAAATATTATAGAATAATCAGATTTAAACCTTCAATATCTTCTTGGTTACTCACCATTTCTTAAATCTATATAAAATTACATGGTACAAATAGAGGCTGTTTATGAAAGTTAATTAAAAAATTTCATTAATTTAGACTTTAATGAAGTTACACTAGATAATTGTGATATATTTTATAGGAAAATTTTTAAATATATCAATAGAGCTACCAGTAACGAATTGGTTATTAAATAAAGTGTTATTGTTTTATTTATAATTACTTTTCTAAAAAATTTACATTTGATTGTAAAAACTTACTTTTTGATCGAAAACCCTTTTAATTTTTCATTAAAAATTTTATATATTAACATCAAATTTACAGATAGAAAGTTTATATACTCTATTTGTTATAAATTTTTATACTCATAAAATTATAACTAATAAACAATCAGAGATAGATAACGAATTATAATTAAATAATTATAAAAGATATAATTATAAAAAACAAAAGTTAGTATTATTTAACTATAATTATTGATAATACAATATAAAATCAAACAAATAGTATAATATAAATAAAAGATTTAAACGATTTAAAAATTTTATTTAATCAATTTATATTTTATAATTTTTTTAAGAACTCATATTTTATTATTTAAAAAATTTTATTTATAAAAAAAAGCATATCAAAATAATTAACTAAAGAAAGTAAATTTATTTAAAGTGCTTCAGCTTTATCAATTCTCTCTGGTTCAGCTTCGTTTTCTATTTGAGGTTCTTCATCACCTTCATTTTCTTTCATTTCATTAATTTGCTTAAATAATTTAGCAAACATATTTTCAGATTCATCTGCTTCTTTAAGTTGTTCTTGGAAATTGGCAACTTTAATGTCAGCAACTTTATTATCTTCAAGAGCAGTTAAAATTGACTTCATATCTCTTGCATTAGAAATATCAATTGGAACATTACTTCCTTTCTTGAATAGATGAGCTTTTGGAACTCCACTTAAATCAAATAATCTTGATTCTGGAATATCATTGTTGTCTAAAACATAGTTAAATACTTTAACTTCTGGAACTAACTCTCCCAATTTGTTGTAAATAGGTTTCAGTTGTTTACAGTATCCACATGTAAGTGATGTAAATAAAACAATTCTATCTACTCCAGTCTTATTAATAACTTCAGGTTCAATTGAATAATAACTTGCAACTTTCAAAGGTAATGAATCATTATCATTAGGAATGCTTTCACTTACAATGATACGTTCAGCTGTTCTTTCCTTAAACTTTTTAACAGCATCAACAACATTAGCGGGTGAAATATTACGCACTACATATTTTGCTGCTTCTTCAAGATGCACTAACAATGGAAAATCTTCCTGTTTAGGATTAATAATATCAACCAATCTAACTATTTCTTCCGTCTTAAAAACAAAGAATCTAGAATCATTAGCAAATGGTTTAAGTTGATCAAAGTATGCTTGTTTAATCTCTTCATTACTCATACTACTCTTATCAATTAAGAAATAAAGTGATAAGTCAATTCCTTGAAATAAGTGTCTATTAGAATGAGTAACAGTATCAATAAATGATATTCTATTTCTTGGAATTATACTTAAAATATTGTTTGGAATTGTCATGTTTATACCAAACTTATCTTTAGAATCGTAATTGTATATTCCTGGAAAGTCAAAGCCCATTTCTTCAGCCAAGGTTTTATCAGTGTTAATAACTACTTTTACATTCTCAACTGTTCTTACTTCTAATACCTTCTTGACTAATTCAAGGTCATCTGTATTTAAAACAACAAAACTTTGTTCACCAGACTTAATTAAATCTTTAATATTTTTCTTGATAGTTGGTTCTTCATCTTTACTTATTACATTTTTAATTTCTTCCTTTAAATCAGTTATACCTACTAATATTTCTGCATTTCTAACAAATGATTTCATCTCTTCAACATCTGTAACGTTATCAAACTGTAATTTAATATCATCCTTTTCAATAACGTATTCATTGTCTTTAAGATTAGTATCATGTTCATAGTTTGCCCCAAATACATCAGCATCTGTTGCTCTATTAGATAATACTATAACTCTTGCTTCTTGTAATTTCATTACTCCATTAAAAATATTTCTTATTAACATTTTAAATTTATGGGGTTAAATTTATTTAAATTTTTATAATTTTTTTATTAAAATTTAAATAAAAATTTTTTAATAAATTAATCAAAGTTGATTATGAAATTTTTAATTAATAAATTTGATATTTTAATTAATTAGAATATCAAAGTTGACATTTTTAAATTAAAATAAAGTAAATTGTTTACTATCATTAATTAATCTAATTTTTATATTATTTATTTGAAAAATTACTTATAAAAATTGTAACAAAAATATTATTAAACAATATCTTAAATATAGTGATTTTTTAAAATTTATCTTTAAAATAAAATCTAATGAAGTAAGTATAATTGTAATATTAATTACTTTTAAACATTATAATAATAAAGTTTTTAATTAGTAGATGATTTTCAAATTTTTTAATTTTATTAAAGTAAACAAATTATGAAAATATTATATCTACAAATTAAGACAATAATTTTTTAAAAACCTATAATTATAATAAACTAAGTTAAAAATTATTTAAAACAATCATAATTTAATTATGAAATCTATAGTTGTTTCTATTTATAATTTATCCGTATTTTGATTACGGAATGAAAAAGCAGTGACGTTAAAACGTGGCTATATTTTTTTAACAGTTCGATTTTAGGTTTTGAATGAATCAAATCAAATTTTTAATTTTAAATCTGACAAAAAGATTTGATCTTATTGCTATACGGGTTTATATATATCAGTTAAAACAATAACATATATTTTTATGGATTAAGTTGCTTTAGTTTATAAATAATTTGTTGTTTTTTTAGATAGTTGAGTAAAATACACTTATGATAAAAATCATATTGTTGTTTTATTGGTGGTTCGATTCTGAATTTTGAATTTAAGAAATTTTAATATATAATTTTATTTTTTATACAACTACTTAAATATAAAAACTTACTTTTTATAATTTAATGATAAGTTTTATTTATTTAAAAACATTTTTAATTCATTAATTAATGATCGATAATAAAATAGATTTTTTATACTTATATTAAAAATTATTTATAAAATATTCGATTATTGTTTTAAAAAATTATACATTTAATGAAATTTTAAATATAAAAAAGATTTTGTAAATTTTTAGAGAAATTTAAAATAATAGAAAAATTTGATATTTGCAAAAATAAAGTATATTTATGATTAGATAACGAATAATTTTTATATAAAAAATGATTTAATAACATGTTTTAAAATCTTTCATTATAAAATATAAATGACGTAAACTTAAAAGAAACAATTGTGGTATGAGGTTTTTTTTAATGTAAATTTTATTTTCTTTCTGATATAATCTTCTAATTTTAAATTTTGTAAAAAAATTTTTACCCATGAATATTGAAAACAAGACAGACAATACGATCAATAAGATCACAGATACAGCAACAGTAGAACCTCTTACAACAGAGGAAGATTCACCATCACAAGATGGAAATTACATAAATAAACTTCTTACTACTACATCCTCTACCGGCTTCGGCAATAAACAATAAAATAATAAATCAAAAAAGATTAAAAATTATAAAATTTAACAGTTTTGTTAATTCACTTACTCTATTTTATTTAAATACTTAAATTTTTTTCGTTTACATTATTTTAGTATTTATAATCGTAGTTATTTTAATTTATTTATTAATAAAATGTTTTGATATTTTCATTTTCTGCTTAATTCACTTTTATTTTAAAAAATTTCAACACTGTACATCAAATCTATAAATTTTTTAAAATAAAACAAGTTTTTTTTTTAAATTAAATTATATCACATATTTTTATTGTTTTTAAAAATTACCTCATTTTATAAAAATTTTTAATAATTTTTAAAAACAATAAAAACATTTATTTACTATGAGATTTATAAGAATTACAGTTTTAAATAATTGAAATATATAATATTAAAGAAATCATTTAATTCTTGTGTTTAATTTTATCTAAACTTTATAAAATTTCAAAATATAAACAATTTTAAAATAGATTTAAATTACAAAATTCATAACTTTAAAGTTTATTAAAAACGTTTGAAATACAATAAATTTACGGTTTCAACATTTTATTGTTTTTTGATTAAATTTCAATTAGTTAAACTTGAAATTTCAAAATATTCTTATTTTATAAACATATGATAAAATAAACTCTAAAAATATTCTTTAGTTTAAAAAACAAAAGATTCTTTTTAATAAATTTTTTTTATAAAATTACGTTATCATAATTTTAAATTTAAAAAC